AAGGCAGAGGAAGTGACCGAGGACCTGGACCCGGACCCGAACCTGGACCTGGACCCGAACCTGGACCCAGACCCGGACTTGGACCTGGACCCGGACCTGGACCCGAACCCGAACCTGGGCCCGGACCTGGACCTGGACCCCGGACCCAGACCTGGACTTGGACCTGGACCTGTTCCCGGACCCAGACCCGGACCTGGACCCTGACATGGACCTGGATGCGAACCTGGGCCCAGATCTGGACCTGGACCTGGACGTGGACCTGGACCTGGTCCTGGACCCGAACCTGGACTCGGACCTGGACCCTGACATAGACCTGGACCCGGACCTGGACCCGAACCTGGGCCCGGGCTTGGACCCTGACATAGACCTGGACCCAGACCTGGACCCTGACATGGACCTGGAACCGAACCCAGACCCAGACCCAGACGATGAATACAAGCAGATTTTCTAACTGAATCTGAAGGACCTTCAGCAAGTTCGATCCCACAGACAGGACCACATCCAGAACCTCCTCTCACCTCTAGGTGACAGAGCCATATGGGCACTGGAACCTCCATCAGGTTCTAGTTACTTTAGCAGGTTTAGAGGCAGTACTGACTCGTGGGCTCCATCTGGGATAAACCAGAACCGTCTCCAAGTGCTCCAGGAGCATCCAGACTGGTATCAGCAGGTCCAGAACCTGGGTTCTGTTTAGGATGGTCAAACATGAAGGATCCAGAAGGCGAACTTCGTCGTTTGTGTTTTTTTAACCAGAGAAAAACCTGAAATCATCTCAAACCAGCAGGACAAACTCTTTTTGTTTCACTGTTTTCTTGACCAACTGAAGCTCATTATGGGATGTTTGGGGCTGTTTATGTGTCCTGTGTGCAGGAGGCCCCTCCAGGTAGCCTGCCCTCATTATGGAGCTGGGATCGGGCCGACGCCTGCTGCTCATTGGAACCAGAGCTGCTGCTGCCTCCCTCTCCTGCGATAAAGTCAGACCAGCTTTGATCTTTACACAAACGTTGTTAAAAGCAGCTCTCGTTCAGACGGATCACGTTTTCCTCTCCACATGTGGAGCTGCTGCTGCAGCCTGCAGCTCCTCACAACAAATAAAAAAAAGTGACGCCCTAGCACTTCTCCTGTAGGACCAAACCCAGCAGCCCAGTTCTGAGCTGCTGGGTGTTCGTCTCTACACAGAAGGAACTTGCGGAGAACATGATGTGTTGGACAAGCTAAAATCCTCCAACTTCTTGTGAGGAGATGTTGACGCAGCTTAAGTCTGAACCCTGACGTGAGGTTTGAAACTTCAGATGTGGTCACCAGCTCAGCTACAGCTGATGATTTGCGAGTTATTTCACAACAAAGAACCCCAGAAGCTCCGTGCCTCTGTCTTCTCTGAGCTCCTCGTCCGTTGGAGACTTCATCATCGTCATGAAACCTCCACAGGATCAGTGGCATGATGAAGCGGCGGATGGTTGACAGATGCTCCAGCTGTTCCTTCAGGGCAGACAGAAAATGGGTCATTAGAGGAATGGAAACAATTTCTGCTCATAAAGCAATGGGACAACAAGTGAAAGTAGCTCTTGGGGCTTTTTAGGGGTCAGGAAAGCAAAACGTGAAGATGAGGAGGAGGTAGTTTCATCCGTAAACAAACAGAGGGGTCTAGTGCTCCTGCCTCCAGATCGAGATCTTCTCAGTCCTCATAGGACACCCTCTCTGGTTTAGAGCTGAAAACGCATGAAGGACACAGCATGTGGCTCCATGTCTGTTTCCATCAAACAGCTGGACTCCTCATCAGGAAACGGGAAGATTTTCAGAAACATTCAATTCAATTTAACTTTATTTATATAGCGCCAAATCACGACAAGAGTCGTCTCAAAGCACTTCGCGTAATAAACATTCCAATTCAGGTCAGTTCATTAAGCCAATCAGAAAAAAGTTTCCTATATAAGGAACCCAGCAAATTGCATCAAGTCACTGACTAGTGTCAGTGACTTGATGCAATCCTCATACTAAGCAAGCATTTAGCGACAGTGGAGAGGAAAACTCCCTTTTAACAGGAAGAAACCTCCAGAGGATCCTGGCTCAGTATGAGCAGCCATCCTCCACGACTCACTGGGGATGGAGAAGACAGAGCGCGCGCACACACACACACACACACACACACACACACACACACACACACACACACACACACACACACACACACAGCAATGTTTCTATGGTTACATTGTGATTTCTTAGTAAATATTCTATTTGGTGAGAGATAAACTTTATTGTATTTATCCTAGTGAATCTATAATTAAACGGGTAAACTAGTAGTAGCACATCCAACGTCAAGGAAAGCAAAAGTTATCACATCCTAAAGGGTTTGGGAAAAGGAAACTGGACTTTAGTTCCTCTTTAGAACTGAGACAAGTTCTCTGACGAGAAGAAACACCAAACATAAAAACGTCCCGATGCTTTTTAGGATTCCTTCGGGTGTGAATGGTGGACTGGTCACCTGTCCAGGTGTAACCCCGCCTCTCACACAGTGACCTCAGCAGATAAGACAGCAGCAGTCAGCGACCCTGAGCAGGAACCAACAGGTGAGGTAATAAAATGCGTTAGAAGACTCGATGTTTACCTGAGCAACCAGATGATCGGGGACGAAGTTCCGCTCAGAGAACGGCGACTGTTGGATATCTCTTGCAAAAGTCGACGTCACACGGACGTGCAGACCATGCAGAACTCGTCTGTGGGACATCTAAACCACAGTGGGTCGCTTAAATTGGTTTCATCTGGTGTCTAATTGAATATTTTCAATGCAGTATTTATTGTTTTACAATTTGAAATGTGAGACAGAGTAAAGAGTGAAGGACTGAGTACACATCCCTGAGGAACACCAGTGCTCATTTTGATGAACAGCGGTGTCTTTCTGTGTTTGCTGTTTTAATTAAGAAGTCAGAGGTTCGGTGGAGTATTTATAACACTTCTCTTCAGTCAAATTCATGATAGGTGCCTCATTGTTTTTTATTATCCCTGGATGTTTGTTTCTCCTTCCAGTTCTTTCCTGGGGGGGGGGAAACGTTCCCACACCTTTTAAGAAGGCTTTTCTGTTATTGATGGTTGTAAGAATGTAAATAACAGCATTGACCAGACTGACGTGGATCTGTGGAAAGAGAAAGCGCTGAGGCGCTCTGGGTGGCAGATTTCATGTTTTACAGGAGAGGAAACTCTCAGCTGGTGAGTTTGAACTTCAGCTGTTTTAAAGCGTCCTAAAGCTCCCAGCAGGACCCAGTCGTCGTTTTCCAGTAAACCTAAACAAAAGCGTCTCATGAAACAGATCAGATGTTCTAAAGCAGCCAAAGAGAGACTTTTACTTTAGTTCTCATAAATCTACAAAACCAAACGGGTAAATATGAAATATCTCATGTTGGACGCGGCTTCCTGTTGCACGCCAACCCTTTATGTGTTGTTCTGAGTCCGAATTCAGCCTTTTAGAAGGACATTTAGAGAAGACCACAGAGACGCTGTAATTAGACTCCATCAGAACACCTCGGACTGTGGAGAGGAGACAATGGGTCAGGGCCAGAGAGGTTCTTGGGTTTTTAGAAGTCTCGGCTAAAACGTGGTGAATTAGCTCAGAAAACCTCATTTACTGTTTATATTAAGCAGCAAATCCATTAGCTTTTTTTTTTTTAAAGTTGAGCTAAACAGATTATAACGTAGCAAGTCCATTACACCGGCTTTTGCTAGGATCATGGACGTAATTTTCACTTTAGAAGTAGGGGGGACACGGGGGGGGGGGGGGGTGTCTTTACAGTATGCTCTAATGGGAAATGGGCTTCAACACAAACGGTTGTTTTCTGCTTGGTCCTAGAGCGCAACCAGTGTCACTTTAATATAGCGTAATATTGTTTTTGGATGGTAAAAAGTGCAGGGGTCAAAACTTGACTTTGGAAAAAGTGGGGGGGACATGTCCCCCCTGTCCCCCCCCCCCCCCCCAAAATTACGTCCATGGTTAGGATTGAAGGATAAATGAAACCAGGCTCAATAATTGTTTTAATGTTTATTTGGAAGGGGTGAAGCGTTTGGACCTGTAAGAAGAGCTGGTATGAATACTGAGGATTTAAAGTTGTAAATGATTGAATGTTTGTACTTTCCTGTTTCCCTTGTGCTTCTGGAAGTGTTCCAGCTAAAAGAGTCCCCGGGGAGCTGGAGCACCTAAAGAAGGTTCCGGAGCATTCCATTCAGGAGGAATGGGGGGGTGACCTGTGAAATAGCTCTAGGAATGCAGTTTAGTTTCATTGAATGTTTTTAGGACTGATTAAGGATGTTTCTATTTTTGTATTGTAATTATTTAAGGAGATCTTAGAGATGATGATTTGAGTATTGTATTTTTTGTACTCACCTGTGTCTGGGTTTTAGGATTAATCTAATTAGTCACACCTGTTACAGCTCCATGTTTGTTGGAGGGAGTTTTTGTTGAGGGTTGAGTGATGGATGGAGTGGCAGACGTGGATTTGTGCTGCCTAGATTTTAATTTTGTTAAATGTAAATAAAATACACTTGGGTCTGCACTGGACAATGGCGGCCTCAGTATTACTTTTCCTCCGGAGCGCATGAGGGTCATCCTGACAAGCGCCCTCGGCGCCACACGGATAAATGAGCAGGGTAATGAACCTAAAATTCCTGTTTTAAGAAGAGTTATAAATGACTCCATACCTACGGAAGCCCGCTCACGCCACAAGAGTTAAGAGGTCACGTTTTAAATTATGATCTTTGAAGTTTAGAGATGCAAAAAGCCACAATTATGAGTTTCTCTCATACTATAAAACTTCATAAGTCTGAATTTTTATGTCGTGTTTTCCTTTTATTGAGTTTTGTATCTCGGAGTTATGACGTCACGTTTCACCATTGTGACTCTTACATTTTCAAAAAGCCAAATGATTGACTTTTATTAACTTTTTGAAGTCTCCCTGACGTCGCTATGATTATGGCCTCTAATCCCCTGATGTGTTGGGAACGTGACTCCTGCTGGAGCTCCTCACTCCTCCCTCCTGATGCAGGAGCAACTTCTCCTCCAGCTCCTCACAGCAGCAGCTCTTATTTACTGGAACCATGAAGCAGCTCTGCTTTGGACGCTTGCTGCTGTGTTTTGCTCATGTTTGTTTCCTCGGATGCTTCCTGGATCCGTCGTGCGCTCAGGAGGCCGCGGGCTCCGATGCGCTCCGCCGGGGGTTGACATGGCAACACAACGGGCAGGTCTTCAGCATCCTGAGCCAGGGGTCCCAGTACAGACCATCCAGGAGGAGGCAAACGCCGGCTTCCCGCCCCAGTAACCCCGTGCTCGTCCTCAGCAGCTCCAACGACACGGCCGTCACGGCCCGGGGATCCCCGAGAGTCCCCGCTGCCAGCGGATCCGCGCAATTACGCGCCATGGCGCGACAGCAGCCGCGGGGGGAGCAGCCCAGTGACCAGGAGTCTGCTCCGGTAAACCGGGAGGACATGATGGTCGGAGATGACCCGTATAATCCGTACAAGCTGCACGGCTACGACGACCCGTACTACAACTACTTTGACACCTACTACCGACCGAGACCTCGGACTCCAGCCCGGCACGGATACGGAACCCGGTACCACCAGAACGGTAGGGTAGGAGGAACGAAAACCCGGTATCTACAGGTGCCCATGAGAGACAAACCACGGCGGCTGCAAAGCTCGTTAATTATTCATATAATTTTCCTCATTAAGCTGTTAAAGCTTCTGAATTTCTGGGTGATAAAAATCCCAGATTTTATTGGCTCGTTACTCCTGCAGCCCAGTCAGCTCTTTGTGCCAAGCTAAAGGAAGACAGATGTTTCAGGGCGCACATCTGTAAAGGTCACCACTTCTCTGCGTCTTTGATCACCTAGAAAATTAATAATTCTGTTTAATCTGAATGGTTATTCTGGGTTTCATCCCCCAAAATTCATTCTCTTTGTGGCGATCAGTCAGGTTCCAAAGCCGCACGCTCAAATTAAACTATTTAGGTTCATAAATACAAACATTAATCCATAAGACCAGGAGTTTTCCTCCAGGGCCGTGTCCAGAAAGGTAAGTGGGGCCTGCAGAAGGGGGGCAGGGGGGACCTTTGGGTGGTGTTCAAAAACCAAAATCAGATATTAATTTCAAAAGCTGCTTTCACGCCTCGGTGTGTCTTATGAAAGCGCCGTGGTGATGCGATACTTTAGAGGCTTTTGTGCCACACTTGGGAGCAAAACTGAATCAAGATTACGCCTTGGTGCAACAGAGGGTGATGTCATGATCACAGGTGGGATTACCACCAAGTTCCTGCCAACACTTATTTATTGAATTTAAACATAAACACGGGCAGAATGTCTCGCTTTTGCAAACAGAATCAGCTGAGATGGTCAAATGGAACGATTCAGAGCTCCAGGAGCTTCTCTCCATCAGAGCTGGAGCTCACTTCTTTTCTAACGGGGCGGAAATGTTGTTATAGGTTTTGTGTGAAAATAAGTCCAGGACTACAAATACGCATCGGAGAAAACGGAGGGGAAAATGGCTGTAGGTTTAGCGAACTTCAAATTCTTCCTTCAAGGGCACCCCTAGAAAATTGTCAGACAGACTGGCAGACAAACTGTGCAACTTAAAGGGTTTTAATGATTAACGCACGCAGGACATGGAAACAATGAGGCAACAAGAGACAAAGAACTGGAGGGGTTTAAATACAGGAGGGCTGGGTGCTTAGGTGATTGGGAAACGAGAGGCAGGTGGGAGCAATCAACAGGGACACAGGCTGAACCAAATGGGGAGACAGGAAAGGGTGTGGCAGCATGCTGCATGTTTTCTCCATCTTCCAGAAAATCTGTTTCCTAGATTTCCTACTTTCTAACTAATCAGCCAAAGGGATCTACCGAACACACACACAAAAAAAAGCTTAATCTGCGCTGCGCTCCAGCAGCAATGAGTTGAAATCACCGAGGCACAGATTATGAACTCAGCTGAAAAGTACATGAAGTACCAGAGAATATGGGCGGATATAAACGATCACAAACGAATGACTTTGTTGTGGTGGAGCGATTTAGTGAATATAACAGCGGCCGCGTGCAGGACGCAGCTGGAGGATTTGAGACGTTACCACTGCGCCCTCTCTGCTCATAGAATGCCCGCAAAGCTGAGTCCATAAATGACGTCATATATGTGGATACTGGATCTTTTTTCAGGCTTCCCGCTATTTGAATTTTTAGGAAACCCACATCTTGATTCTGGGTTTAAAAATGCATTGTAATTACCGCGTTACTGACACTTGTACCGAGTAAATATTACCATTTTCTTTCCCTGTAATGCCTTACATTACCACATTACAGCAAAAAGTAATGCATTACAGTAATTAATTACTTTTGTACCGCGTTACTCCCAACACTGGCCGCCGTTGCGCCCTCAAAAACATAAAGAGAGCCGAGGATAACTAGCGGCAGACACGGAGCAGCTTGAAAAATACCTCGCGAAAAAACTAAAAATATGAATGTTTAATTCTCCGTGACTGGAGGAGTGAAAAGATGTGCAGCAAGCGTTTTATTTGTGGATGGAAATTACAGGAAATGTGGGTTTAGAGGTGGCGAGCGCATGAAGAGGTGGAGGAGGATGAGAGACAAATTTGTCTGTGTTAAAAAGTCTCTTATATACAAAAAAAACACAATATAAACACATTATCTTGGACCGGATACATGACAGGATACCACAAAACAGCGCTACGCCCTCTGCTGTCCTGCCGGGCAATTGCTTTGCAACACTCCCCATGAGACGGAGAAGCATGAGGGTAAAACATCTCCATCCGTGCATGCGTGTCTCTCCCTTTTGGAGCTGACGGAGAAGCATGAATCAGGCTTAAGCGGGTTAGAAAATAGCGTTTTTAGCCTCGTTGACTTGCATTTGTTGTTTTGTTCTTCCGGGAACCCGTGAGCCGACCGGAAAGGGAGGAGACTTAGGCTCCCTATAAAGTGCTTTGGAGTTTGTTGAAAACTATTTTACAAATGAAGTCCTTCACCATTGTAACGGGATGAAGGAGCCATTTCTCAGGGTTATTAGCCTCTAACCACTGTTCCACTTTGACACAGTGCCAGAGTGCATGAAACAGCCTCAAGGTCATGCATTCACTTCTAAACTGTGTACGTTCCAGCAATGACGACAGAAGATGAAGACTCCTTTCTTTTCTTTTATTAAAAGCCAAAGAACTCTATTATCAATAAAGCTAATCAAAACAACTGTTAGTCAATGATAACCATGTGACCGATCTGTGAAATCACAATATTATGATTAATATGTTTTAATGAGTAAATGACTTGTTCTAGTCACTAGACACGCTGATACATTAAGGTAAATAATCACATGACACATTGCTGTTGCTGATCCAATCAGAACCTTCCCCGTCTGAAGCGTGGCGAGTCTCTGTGGTGTTTATTTAATCTGTCAGCTTTGATTCGTCCAGAATCATAAACATCCAGATTAATAAAACTGTTCCAACACCATATTCAAGTTCGGTATTCAACAAGATCTCAAGATCCCCTGAAGTTCACCGCATGCAATGTGGAGTATGGAAAGGCCATCCATACTCTTCTTTTTAAGCTAAGAACTACCAAGCTGGGAAACCTGCCGTTGTTATCAACCAACAACGGTGCCTTCAGAATAAAAGCTGGACCCGCTGACCCAAGGAGGGTCCCTTTTTGATGCTGTGAAACACCTGTCGCTTTTACCTGGAGACGTTCCAAAGACTGGGTTGTCGTGCTGTGACGCTGTTTCATCGGCTCCGGTACCATTTAAGTTGCATTTAAGTGATGTTAACTATTATTTAACATTTAAACTTATTTTCAGATATTTTTATTTATTCAAAAAACCCTGGTAAGGGATGTTTTTCTGTATTTGGAGCATCAGGAAAAGTTTTATGGTGGAGGTGATGTTTTAAAGTCACTGAGAAACTGCATGCATGCAGTTTGTTGTTTTGCTGCTAATACAGTAGCAGGTGCAGCTGCTAATACAGTAGCAGGTGCAGCTGCTAATACAGTAGCAGGTGCGGCTGCTAATACAGTTGCAGGTGCACCTGCTACTGTATTAGCAGCTGCTAATGCAGTAGCAGGTGCTACAGTAGCAGGTGCAGCTGCTAATACAGTAGCAGGTGCGGCTGCTCAGCAGCTGCTAATGCAGTAGCAGCTGCTAATACAGTAGCAGGTGCAGCTGCTAATACAGTAGCAGGTGCAGCTGCTAATGCAGTAGCAGGTGCAGCTGCTAATACAGTAGCGGGTGCTGCTGCTAATACAGTAGCATGTGCAGCTGCTAGTGCACATGCTACTGTATTAGCAGCTGCTAATGCAGTAGCAGGTGCAGCTGCTAATACAGTAGCAGGTGCAGCTGCATATTTTTGCAATAAAAATGTTATGTTGTAATGGAATTCATGCATTAGTTTTTGTTTGCTTTGAACCCAGAGCAGACGTCACACGCCAGACGACATCAACACTGCATACTTTAGTATTTGTTCATTTATCGTGAGTAATATCGATATCGCAATACTAAGCACTGTTATCGGATATCGCAGGTTTTCCTAATATCGTGCAGCCCTAAGACACGCAGAACAAATTAGCTCAAAGTTGTTGTAACGAATCTACAAAACAAGCTAGGTTTAAAATGCAAACATGGTCGTGGAACATTCACCCCCCTCCTCAGGTGTCTTCCCCGAGACGCTTATGCCAGAACCAGAAACTCGCAATGCCAGAGGAAACAAGATGGTGTCAAACATCTGTTGCCATTATCTAGGTCCGAACATCTTTTCTTGTCCGCGACTTCATTTGGTGCTTTTCTTTTCGGGACTCTGGTAGTTTGTCCTAAAGTTGAAGTGGTAGCAGCCGGCTGTCTCTGCTTCTCAAATGGTGCACGACCCCATGGCCGAAGGCCGATAGCCGACGGAGGAGTGACCGTTCCATGACTGTGTTTGTGTTTAAAAGCCAGTCTTTTCTGTAGATTTGCCATTGCAGCTTTAAGATGAATTAGAGCTTTACATCCACTAACTCTGTAACTCATTTTGTCATGTTCTGTGTCCCTTTGTTACCCAGCCCCTCCAGTTCCCACTCCAGGTTCTCCTTTTGTGTTTCATGGCGCCCTCATGTGTCCTTTGTCTGCGTCTTTCCCCATGTGTCTCCTAATGTTTCTCCATCCCTCTCTGGATTCCCTTTTGTGTTCTCTTAGCGCCCTCATATGTCCTTTGTCTGCATCTCTGTTGTGTGTCTTAAGTTGTAGCCACAGCCTCTTGTTCCCCAGTTCATAGTTTGTGTGTGTCAGTATGTGTATGTGTTTGTGTGAGTTCTTCCCTTAGTCTTTAGGTTTAGTTTTGTGTTTTAGATAGTGTTAGGTTTATCATCTCTCCACTGGTTCTCTTCCCCATCCAGATAATTGCTGTCACCTGCCTTCCCTCCAGCCTCACTCCACACACCTGCTTCCTGTTTCCCGAATTGCTCCTCCCTGTCTATATAAGCCCTCCTTGTCTCATTGTTCTTGTCGGTCCATTGTTGTTTGTCAGCGTTATTTGTTCTGTCAGTCTGCTCGTTCCTCTGGTGTTTTTTTGACTCCCTGGATTTTTGGATTTTGGCTCCCTGCCATTTGGATTTATTTTTGTTCTTCCTCAAAATAAAGGATTTTTACTTTACATATCCACTCCTGCCTCGTGTCGTCCTGGGTTCTGCAATTTGGGTCCTACCCTCCTAAATGTGACACATTTAGGAAGAAGTCTCCAGGGGGAACTTTTCAAAACAAGACCAAAAATCTTTAAAGGAACAATATGTAAGAATTCTACAGTAAACTGGTCAAAAACTGTCTAATGGTTACGTCACAACAGATTTCCTTGTCAGCCGGCTGGGGGCTTGTCGGTTTTTCTTTTTTCCAGAAAAAACCAAAGAGGGAATAAATAACAAATGGGTAAAACTATTCAAAGCTTGTCTGAAGGCAGCCATATTGAGTTCCTTCCCCTCTTTGCCCAGCTCAGTGGTATGAGTGTCCATCCTGGGACTGGGAGACGCCTCCTTGCTTCACTCAGCATTAAGGGGTTGGATTGGCGGGTTAAACCACCAAATGGTTTAAGCCACAGCGGCCGCCGCTGCAGCTCATCGCTCCCCCCAGGACATGGGTCAAATGCGGAGAACGCATTTCACACACACCAGTGCGTGCCGACTAGTGGGACTTTAACTTTTTAACTATTTGAACTGAACTTCATCCGTGGATCAGCTGGTAACTGACGAATGAAGACATCCATCATTTTACATTTTTTAGATTATAATGAAACACAGAAGAGGAGAGTGAGGGGGTGCGGCTGGCATTTTGATGTAGAGCGCCCTCTGCTGGTCAGACATCTGTTTTGGGGGCGATGGTGGCACAGCAGTTAAGTGCTCGCCCCGTAATCGGAAGGTTGCAGGTTCGAACCCCACTCAGTCTGTCGCTGCCGTCGTGTCCTTGGGCAAGACACTTAACCCGACTTGCCTGCTGGTGGTGGTGGTCGGAGGGACCGGTGACGCCTGTGCTCAGCAGCCTCGCCTCAGTCAGTGCGCCCCAGGGCAGCTGTGGCTACACCGTAGCTCATCACCACCAGCGTGTGAATGTGTGTGTGAATGGGTGAATGACTGTGTTGTAAAGCACCTTGGGGGGTTCCAGGACTCTAGAAGGCGCTATACCAAATACAGGTCCTTTACCATTTTTTGCTCTCCTTCAACCCCTGAAGTTCCAAATCAACAAGAACCAGATAAAATTTGAATAAATTTAGTTCAAACGGAGAAATGGGAGGAGCAAACTGTGTAGCCTGAAACACCTCCTCCACGTGGTGCACATGACCAAGCATCACCTGGATTCACCTGATTATTAAACACCTGGATAAGCTTTAATTGTTTCCTCTTTTATGTGAGCGGGTTCTGTTCTGCCTGCAGGTCTCCCTGATCTGGTTCCCGATCCGTACTACATCCAGATCGCTTCCTATGTCCAACGGACGCCCATGTACAACCTGCGCTGTGCTGCCGAGGAGAACTGCCTGGCGTCGTAAGGATCTCCTCACATCTGCTGTAGGTTAATCCCTCCATCAGAAGTTTGACTCTCCTCTGGTCTCCTGCTGCAGCACGGCCCGGTACGCTCAGGATTACGAAACCAGGGTTCTGTTGAGGTTCACTCAGAGGGTGAAGAACCAGGGAACGGCCGACTTCCTGCCCAGTAAACCCCGATATGCCTGGGAATGGCACAGCTGTCACAAGTAGGTGTCCTACACCAGGGCCTCTCCAAAAACATCTGCAGTTTCAAAACATCACCGATGGAAACACGGTAGTCGTTAAGAAGTCATAATAATGTAGCAAAAAAAAATTTCAAAAAAGTTTTTCATACATTTTTTGTTTATTATAAACTTAAAAAATGAAAGTAAGCATCAATTTTAATGAATAATATTTTAAATCAGAAGATTAGAGATGAAACGATGGAAGTCAACTTTCTGAGGTAAATTAAATTTAGACATTTTTCTTTCACTGGAAAATTTTTGTTTCCAGTTTTTCTGGATGAACAACCTTTTTTTCTCTCTGACAATCAAAGGTCCCGAAGACAGAGCCCTGAGGCACACCTCGGGTAACGGAGGCTGATGGGAGCTTTAAAATGCTCCGTTTCTGCTTAATATCTGTTATTTTGCTAGAATTTTAATGTTTCCTAGAATATTTTAAACCTGTGATTATTTTATTAATGAGGTTCTCAGTAGGTCGTTGTTACCTTTGAACTTCAGCTGTTTGGGTCACGAGTCTCAGACTTTTTATTTGGAGGTTGATGAGTGTGAGAACCACTGGTTGTGTGTTAGAAACGTGTGTGTGTGTGTGTGTGTGTGTGTGTGTGTGTGTGTGTGTGTGTGTGTGTGTGTTCAGTCACTTCCACAGCATGGATGAGTTCAGTCTTTATGAGCTGCTGGACGCTCGGACTCAGAGTCAAGTCGCTGAAGGTCACAAAGCCAGTTTCTGTCTGGAGGACACTTCCTGTGACCCAGGATACTACCGCCGCTTCGCCTGTACCTCACACACTCAGGTATACACGCGCACACGCGCGCACACACACACACACAAAATCAGAGGACTCCAAAGAGCTTTACACCTGTGAAACATTCATCCATTCACTCTGTTTTAGATGCACGAAGACAAATATTCATGTAAAAATGATCTCCTCTTCCTGAAGGAAGCAGCTTGTTTAACAGGCTTTAAGCCTCAGTGACGTTTTTAAAAACTAGAAAGAGTTGATAAATTAAATATATTTGAAAAACTTAAAAATAGTAAAATAAAAATGTTAAATGAAGGAAAAGGAAAGTAAAAGTCCTCTTTAACTTTTAGTAAATGACGGTTTCAGAAAGGAAACCAGACATAACTGGATCAATAGTCGATTGTTTGATTCGTTGTTTTTGTGTTCAGGGTTTGAGTCCCGGATGCTACGACACCTACAACGCCGACATCGACTGTCAGTGGATCGACATCACCGACGTCACGCCGGGAAAATACATCCTGAAGGTCTGACCTGAAAGGTCTCAGAGTCCTATCTTCATGATTCATGACCACACACAGCCTTCTGGGTCAGTCAGGTTCCGGGCTCTCCTGGTAATCCATCGGTCAGAAGACCTGATTGGTTCAGGGACCGGTTCAGATGTTTTAGATTCATCGTCCTGAAGGATGAGAAGCTGCTGGTCTGAGGATGAAGCTGCTCCACCAGGATGGAGAACATCAGGAGATTTGATTCAGTTTGTGTCAGAAGAGCAGAATCGGAGGGTTCAACAGAACACATTCATTCATCCATCCTTCATCCTTCCTTCATCTATCCATCCTTAATCTATCCATCCATCCATCCCTCCATCCATCATCCATCATTCATCTATCCATCCATCCATCCTTCATCTATCCATCCATCCATCCCTCCATCCATCATCCATCATTCATCTATCCATCCATCCATCCTTAATCTATCCATCCATCCATCCCTCCATCCATCCATCCTTCATCTATCCTTCATCTATCCATCCCTCCATCCATCATCCATCCTTTATCAATTCCATCCCTCCATCCCTCCATCCATCCTTCATCTATCCTTCATCTATCCATCCATCCATCCTTAATCTATCCATCCATCCATCCCTCCATCCATCATCCATCATTCATCTATCCATCCATCTATCCTTCATCTATCCATCCATCCATCCCTCCATCCATCATCCATCATTCATCTATCCATCCATCCATCCTTAATCTATCCATCCATCCATCCCTCCATCCATCATTCATCTATCCATCCATCCATCCTTCATCTATCCATCCATCCATCCCTCCATCCATCATCCATCATTCATCTATCCATCCATCCATCCATCCTTAATCTATCCATCCATCCATCCCTCCATCCATCCATCCTTCATCTATCCTTCATCTATCCATCCCTCCATCCCTCCATCTATCCTTCATCTATCCATCCCTCCATCCATCATCCATCCTTTATCCATCCATCCCTCCATCCCTCCATCCATCCTTCATCTATCCTTCATCTATCCATCCCTCCATCCATCATCCATCCTTTATCCATCCATCCCTCCATCCCTCCATCCATCCTTCATCTATCCTTCATCTATCCATCCCTCCATCCATCATCCATCCTTTATCCATCCATCCCTCCATCCCTCCATCCATCCTTCATCTATCCTTCATCTATCCATCCATCCATCCCTCCATCCATCATCCATCCTACATCTATCCATCCATCCATCCCTCCATCCATCATCCATCCTTCATCTATCCATCCATCCATCCCTCCATCCATCATCCATCATTCATCTATCCATCCATCCATCCTTCATCTATCCATCCATCCATCCATCCCTCCATCCATCATCCATCCTTTATCCATCCATCCCTCCATCCCTCCATCCATCATCCATCCTTCATCTATCTATCCATTCCTCCATCCATCATCCATCCTTCATCTATCTATCCATCCATCCCTCCATCCCTCCATCCATCATCCATCCTTTATCCATCCATCCCTCCATCCATCATCCATCCTTCATCTATCTATCAATCCATCCATCCATCCCTCCATCCCTCCATCCATCATCCATCCTTCATCTATCCTTCATCTATCCATCCATCCATCCCTCCATCCATCATCCATCCTTCATCTATCCATCCATCCATCCTTTATCTATCCATCCATCCATCATCCATCCTACATCTATCCATCCATCCATCCCTCCATCCATCATCCATCCTTCGTCTATCCATCCATCATCCATCCTTCATCTATCTATCCATCCATCCATCCTTCGTCTATCCATCCATCATCCATCCTTCATCTATCTATCCATCCATCCATCCTTAATCTATCCATCCATCCATCCCTCCATCCATCATCCATCATTCATCTATCCATCCATCCATCCTTCATCTATCCATCCATCCATCCCTCCATCCATCATCCATCCTTTATCCATCCATCCCTCCATCCCACCATCCATCATCCATCCTTCATCTATCCATCCATCCATCCTTTATCTATCCATCCATCCATCATCCATCCTACATCTATCCATCCATCCCTCCATCCATCATCCATCCTTCGTCTATCTATCCATCATCCATCCTTCATCTATCTATCCATCCATCCATCCTTCGTCTATCCATCCATCATCCATCCTTCATCTATCTATCCATCCATCCATCCTTCATCGATCCATCCATCCATCCATCCTTCATCTATCCATCCATCTATCCCTCCATCCATCATCCATCCTTTATCCATCCATCCCTCCATCCATCATCCATCCTTCATCTATCTATCCATTCCTCCATCCATCATCCATCCTTCATCTATCTATCCATCCATCCCTCCATCCCTCCATCCATCATCCATCCTTTATCCATCCATCCCTCCATCCATCATCCATCCTTCATCTATCTATCAATCCATCCATCCATCCCTCCATCCCTCCATCCATCATCCATCCTTCATTTATCCTTCATCTATCCATCCATCCATCCCTCCATCCTTCATCCATCCTTCATCTATCCATCCATCCATCCTTTATCTATCCATCCATCCATCATCCATCCTACATCTATCCATCCATCCATCCCTCCATCCATCATCCATCCTTCATCTATCCATCCATCATCCATCCTTCATCTATCTATCCATCCATCCATCCTTCGTCTATCCATCCATCATCCATCCTTCATCTATCTATCCATCCATCCATCCTTCATCTATCCATCCATCCATCCTTAATCTATCCATCCATCCATCCCTCCATCCATCATTCATCTATCCATCCATCCATCCTTCATCTATCCATCCATCCATCCCTCCATCCATCATCCATCCTTTATCCATCCATCCCTCCATCCCTCCATCCCTCCATCCATCATCCATCCTTCATCTATCTATCCATTCCTCCATCCATCATCCATCCTTCATCTATCTATTCATCCATCCCTCCATCCCTCCATCCATCATCCATCCTTTATCCATCCATCCCTCCATCCATCATCCATCCTTCATCTATCTATAAATCCATCCATCCATCCCTCCATCCCTCCATCCATCATCCATCATTCATCTATCCATCCATCCATCCTTCATCTATCCATCCATCCATCCCTCCATCCATCATCCATTATTCATCTATCCATCCATCCGTCCTTCATCTATCCATCCATCCATCCCTCCATCCATCATCCATCCTTTATCCATCCATCCCTCCATCCCTCCATCCATCATCCATCCTTCATCTATCTATCCATTCCTCCATCCATCATCCATCATTCATCTATCCATCCATCCATCCTTCATCTATCCATCCATCCATCCCTCCATCCATCATCCATCCTTTATCCATCCATCCCTCCATCCCTCCATCCCTCCATCCATCATCCATCCTTCATCTATCTATCCATTCCTCCATCCATCATCCATCCTTCATCTATCTATCCATCCATCCCTCCATCCCTCCATCCATCATCCATCCTTTATCCATCCATCCCTCCATCCATCATCCATCCTTCATCTATCTATCAATCCATCCATCCATCCCTCCATCCCTCTATCCATCATCCATCCTTCATCCTTCCTTCATCTATCCATCCATCCATCCTTCATCTATCCATCCATCCATCCCTCCATCCATCATCCATCATTCATCTATCCATCCATCCTTCATCTATCCATCCATCCATCCCTCCATCCATCATCCATCCTTTATCCATCCATCCCTCCATCCCTCCATCCATCATCCATCCTTCATCTATCTATCCATTCCTCCATCCATCATCCATCCTTCATCTATCTATCCATCCATCCCTCCATCCCTCCATCCATCATCCATCCTTTATCCATCCATCCCTCCATCCATCATCCATCCTTCATCTATCTATCAATCCATCCATCCATCCCTCCATCCCTCCATCCATCATCCATCCTTCATCTATCCTTCATCTATCCATCCATCCATCCCTCCATCCATCATCCATCCTTCATCTATCCATCCATCCATCCTTTATCTATCCATCCATCCATCATCCATCCTACATCTATCCATCCATCCATCCCTCCATCCATCATCCATCCTTCGTCTATCCATCCATCATCCATCCTTCATCTATCTATCCATCCATCCATCCTTCGTCTATCCATCCATCATCCATCCTTCATCTATCTATCCATCCATCCATCCTTCATCTATCCATCCATCCTTAATCTATCCATCCATCCATCCCTCCATCCATCATCCATCATTCATCTATCCATCCATCCATCCTTCATCTATCCATCCATCCATCCCTCCATCCATCATCCATCCTTTATCCATCCATCCCTCCATCCCTCCATCCATCATCCATCCTTCATCTATCCATCCATCCATCCTTTATCTATCCATCCATCCATCATCCATCCTACATCTATCCATCCATCCATCCCTCCATCCATCATCCATCCTTCGTTTATCCATCCATCATCCATCCTTCATCTATCTATCCATCCATCCATCCTTCGTCTATCCATCCATCATCCATCCTTCTTCTATCTATCCATCCATCCATCCTTCATCGATCCATCCATCCATCCTTCATCTATCCATCCATCCATCCCTCCATCCATCATCCATCATTCATCTATCCATCCATCCATCCTTCATCTATCCATCCATCCATCCCTCCATCCATCATCCATCCTTTATCCATCCATCCCTCCATCCCTCCATCCCTCCATCCATCATCCATCCTTCATCTATCTATCCATTCCTCCATCCATCATCCATCCTTCATCTATCTATCCATCCATCCCTCCATCCCTCCATCCATCATCCATCCTTTATCCATCCATCCCTCCATCCATCATCCATCCTTCATCTATCTATCAATCCATCCATCCATCCCTCCATCCCTCCATCCATCATCCATCCTTCATCTATCCTTCATCTATCCATCCATCCATCCCTCCATCCATCATCCATCCTTCATCTATCCATCCA